GATCAATATGAGAACAATTATGATTTGAGTGGAATAATTGAAATAAATTATGAGAATGGATAAGAATGATTGGTTGTGTAGAAATGGAAAACACCAGAAAACTTGCTATGCAGGCAAGTTATGGTGGGCTATGCTGAAGTTACAAATTAGTCTGGAGTTTCAGTGTTTTAAAACTGTGAAAGTTTATTATTGCTAATGATATACCTTTAACATTGGTCAGGGGTGGTTCCGCTTCACATAGTCTCTCAGGGATCCAAGCTAATGGATGCTCTAACGTCTCAACTCCTGGCCTATATGGTTTTCACAGTGCAGAAAGAGAGAGAAGTTTTGCTCCAGTCTTAAATGCATTGGTACTTCCTGGTCCAGAAATGACAGACATCATTTCCACTTGTGGCCTATTAGAATTAATCAGATGGCTCCAGCTAACTGTAAGAGAGTGGGAAACAGAGAGAGGGCACATGGATATTTGGTGAAAGTGAATGCTTCTGCTGTATGACATATGAGCTAATTCTAAAAAAGGTAAATGGAAATCAATCTGGTGTTATGAATAAGAAGATGAAAAAGAAACCTTTCCTTTTGTGAAAGTGAAGAAGTTATCTTTAGAGTAAAAAAGTGAATGTTAATGAAGATTTTAACTTCTTAACTTCCAGATGTTAGCATCTGGAAACTGGAACATAGTGTAAAGAGATCTGAGATCTCCTGAGGCAGCTCTGTAGCTGAATCTTGCACTGTGTAGTGCATGGGAAGATTTTATAGAGTTATTTTTTGGACAATGTGTTAATGGATAGATTCTATGCTTTAGGAAGATTGCTTTGTTATCTATGCCTGAGGATCCCAAAGTGCTTAGCACTATATATATATTTTTTTAAATCCTGGTTCATGCAAAAGTGCAATCACAGTGCTTAGAAAAGAGTAACTCTGAAGTGTTTATCTTTTTACCTGAACTTTTAAAGTTGCCTCTAATGACAAGAAAGCCTTCAGTGAATCAGCCTATGAAGTATCACTTGCATGTTAATTATTAAAAATAATATTTGTGGAGGTCACAAAAATAGTATTATCTAAATACATAGTCGAAATAGCAGTTAACATTAAGGGAGGGTGTACTGTGTACAATGAGCAGTGCTAATTATTTTATATGCATTATTTCTGCTAAACCTCACAATAACTCAGGTAGGTACTATTATTATCCCCATTTTCAAAATTCATAAATTTGTAAATAAATGAGAAGGCTCTTTTATACTTCAGGCAGTTTCGTCCTAGAAAAGGTAAGTCAATTGTATGTACATCATTTTTATCTATTTTCTGTCATCAACTTAAAATCTCTGTTATAAATGTTTATGATTTTGCAATAAAATAATTTATAGGTAGTAGGAATTATGCTGCAACATTAACTTTTCTGTTTTTAGAGTTTGGACAGAGAAGCCAAAAGCCAAATTTCCACTTTCAGCAATTTTACTTCAACTATTAGCCAGAAGAAAGAAACCACTGAAAACAGAAGTTCACCTACACATCTTGTTTTCCCTAACATCAAGAATGGTAAACAATTCTTAAATGTGTTTATAATTATTAAAAGTACACATAGTCTAGATATCTGGGCTA